AGTTTTGAATAATCAAAGTCAAAATGTTACTTTTACTTAATCCGCGACAATTCAGTACCAAAAAAAAACCTTAGGAATATTTAAGGAAAAAAAAAGATTTTATTTTAGGGAAAAGCTTTAAGCTTTTCCGTTAGAAAGTCGAAGATTTTTACAAATATTCTTTGGATACGTGACAGGCTCACAAAGTGACCAAAAAATTTCCTATTTTGTTCCTAGTGTGTGTTTTCTATGTCTATATAAAAATTTCCAAACTTACATAAACTCAAAAGATGTAATAACCTTTTGAAAGTAGAGATCTTAAGCTTTAAAAAATCCTTTTTTACATTTAAATTTTATCCTATTTCTTATGCTAATTTATTCTATATATCTACAATACTTTAAATTAGATTTCATTCATAACAAAATTACAGCTTGAATTTGAAAGTAACGCTACAAACTTTTGTTCTAATTTAATAAAAGTATCGGTAATGTATTTTTCTCTTCTACAAATTTTTATTTATTTGACTTAATTCATTTACAATAATTAGTTAAAAGGATGAAAATTGGACGTGGGTTTTAGTGCGTAATATAAATTAATGAACAAAATTTATTTTTAATATGTAAGTTTGAACATTTCGGCTTAACTTTTATTTATTGAAAAATTTCGAAAGATCGAATTCTCAAAGCATAAAAGTAAAGAAGAAAAGTGCATTGGCAACTGCTTATTATATAATCTTTGTCTCGCATTTAGAGCACGATCGATAAATTCCCTCTGACGGGATTCGTCGATTTTTCCTCGTCATTAAAACTTGCAGCAAGAACGAAACCTTCTTACGGCAGCGATTAATGTACAGTGAATGTGTGCCTAATATCTTTTAGTAATAGTTTACGACGTTCGCCATGATCGAGAGAGGAAAAAAAGAGCGAGAGAAGGAAGGAGAGAAAAACCTCGGGCATATAATTTCTTCTCGCGCGTGAACTTTAGAGTTTGCGAATATGGCGCATTAACTCAAGTGGCGGTTCGCTGTAGAATAATCGACGACTACCGAAATTCGAGCACGTATACATGTGGCGGCCCCGTTAATCTTCATCCGTACCTTTAATCTTGTAAATAGCTGGGGCGCGACTTCGTTGGCGTTTGGTCGGCGCCACCGCGAAACGCGTCAGCGTTAATTACATTTGTGTGTTTCACATTTCACACATTCGCGAATAACGCGGAGGCGCGCACTTTTGTTACTTAACGCGCGACACCATTATATCGTTTGGTATCGGTCGTTAAATCGGTCGGCCACGAACAATCATCGTTCTCAAGCCGGTCACGATCGCAGTCATTTCCTCCTCGTTGAAACGATCCTTGGCCCACCCTTTCCATCTTCGTTCCGACGGGAAACGAATAAGCCGCTCACAATTCCAGCCGCGTATCGACCAAAGCTCATTACGACATTACTCGTGCGTCAACGTCGGCATAACGATTAATTCTTTCTTTGTTATCGTGGTATATACAAGTTACCTGCATAGGTACTGCATAAAGGGGGATCAAGGCTGCTGAACATTTTGTTACCTACTTACGTTATTTTAAGATTAATCTTGAGATTTTTAAGCTTTTTTAAGCTTAAGTACTAATTAACTATATAATTTATACACTTATATTATATAATTAAGTGCTCAGTAACTATATATTCTTAAACTTAAGCACTAAATAACTGTATAATTATTTATGGAATTTTAGCATAATAGTTTTATTATTTTTCTACAATATTTGTGTATTTTGAGTACCTATATTTGACAATGATAAATTTAATACTTTATATATGTTCACTGCGTCTCAGATTTTAGCAACGAAAAAGTTGAACATTTTGCTTGTGCATTTATTTAGATAGAAGAATAATGTTGATTCTGAACTTTTTATCTGCTTGCTTATTGAATTTAATATCATTTTATGATAAAAATTACGTGAGAGATTTTCAGTAGATATTTTACATTAGTGTAATATTAAGATTTCACATTTTTTATCACTTGTAATTATTTTTTGCTCAGCTTTAATTTATAATTAATTTTGTAACTAAAATCTGTTATTTATATTATTAATTTTTATTTATTTTAGTCGTGTTTAATTATTTATATATCTCTTTATTAGATCAAGATAACCCTACATGGAATTCGTCGCTGTAAATGACTCATAAATTTTTGATCATAAGTAAATCTGAGAAATATAAAAATTATATTATTATAACAAAGGAAAATAATAAAATTGATAAATTGTTTAGAAAAGATTTACGTTTTTTTTTATTTTAAAATAATGTATAGATTTCGAAAAACGGAAAATATTGTATTTATATAATAATAAATTAGAAGACATGTATGAACATAATTACAAAAAATGTTTAGGAAAAAACATATATAAATATAGTTTTAAAATAAATATGTATATATGATAAAAAAGATATTAATCAAGTAGATGAAATAACTATAAAGTAACAATAACTCAAATAAATCAAAAGAAAGCATTTGCTATCAAACGATCAATATAAAACAAATCATGCTATTATAGCAAATAAATGAATATAAGTTTTATATGATAAATCAATTCTTAGCCACTCTCTTGTAATACGGAAACGATTAAGTCTGATCCTCCAATAATTACTAAAAGCATCTTGTTTTCTTGTTTGTCCTTTCTAATTAGTATCTACACGTGTATCTACGACTATGACGTACATCATCGTCATTCCAATCACGCGTTCGATTTCGATATCCTGCCATTTATGGTAACATTACGACAATGAATTTCAGTTGAGAGTGCAACCGACGAGCGTGCGTTGCGTGTATCATGTGCATGCAATATACGGCGCACTGTGATACACGACATCTCGAAAATTACATACGGTTTCTTACCACGTAACAACAGCAAGAACTTCCGTGTAGCCGTTATCAAGATCGCTCGGCTTTATATCGCAAAGTTGCTGGACCAAGGTATCAATTATATGTATTTTTCGCGAAATCTTGCAAGAAATCTGCTACTCGGAAACATTGTGTTCACATCGTCCTGTATTATAGACGAAAATTTTAATACTTGGTTTCTGTTATCCTGAAAAAATTAGAAATTTATTTTGCAATGTAAATATTTCTGTTCTATTTTTGTCTTCTGAAAATTACAACAAATTAATCTCTTTCTCCTTGGAATAAAATTAAAGCGTTAAAATTTCATACTAGAAATTTAAAATGCCTTACGATCGAAGCTGGATTTTCATTGCTTTTAAATAATTCAATCTTGAATTACTAATATGGATGTACTTGCATATATGTATACCATATTGTAGTCTTTTCAAACTGTAAATTGTTTTTCCGGACTATAAACGCAATTAAAACTACTCTAATAATCGCGAATTAAATTGATAAGCAATTTTAATAATTTGATGCTACAATCAAGCATCACATTATAAAGATATTAATATATTGAAAAACTGTTAATAAATTTATTGCGAAAAATATTATCTCGGCCGGAATATTTTTCGCATAATGTGCTGCTTGATTGTAGCATCAAATTATTAAAATTGCTTATCAATTTAATTCGCGTTTACTAGAATAGTTTTAATTGTAATGTATTTAATTATTTATAGTCCGGAAAAACAATTCGGCACGCAGTTTGAAAAGGCTACAATGCGATATATATACAAGTACATATATAGTATAAATTAGTAATTCAAGATTGAATTATTTAAAAGCATCGACCAGCTCCGACCGTAATAGGTATTTTAAATTTCTAATATTGATATTGTGTTTCTCACATATGACGTCTAAAATAAAAATTCTTAATATTGTTAAAATTCCATTTTGCTTAAGAATAAAAAGCGGAGATAATAAAAACAGTACTTATTAAAAAGTAAACGCAATTATGATAATATTTTTCCATTAAGCCTATAATTACAAACATATAATTTATATGTCTCATTAAAAATATTTTAGTATCTTAATAATTTATTATTATTATTATTTACATTTACATATTATAAAATTCTTAAAATTCTTTAATGCATTAATTTAACTGTCAAATATTTTAATATTAAATCCTCAGTTGTACTGTAATATTACAAAGAAATATCATTTCTTAATTTTTATAATAATATCGTACGCGCAACTTTTTTATACAATGATCAGGAAAGAATAAAATTAAATCGATAACATTATAAATTAGTAGGTACTATTTCTATAAATGCTTATACTTATTAAAGCGCTGTTTGAAAAAAATTTAACTTTAGAATAATAATTTTTATAAAACTTTATTATTGAGTTTGCTTAACAAATAATGTTTGTACTAAATTTCGTACTGTAATGTTAAAATTACTAAGACATTACAATAATATTGTTTATAAGCATATTGTACTTATAATAGTACTTAATAGTACTTAATAAATTAAACGAAATTCTATAAAGTTTTGCAAAGAGATCGATAATATTGACTGTTATTATGATGAAGTATGCAAATACCTTTTCCTATAAAATATAGAATAGGATAAAATAAAGTTAAAGGAGTAGAAGACACACACCCAATTGCATACCGATGTTATTTTACGAGTTTATAATTTGCTGAGTGCTGCTAACATAATTTACCGACATCAAGTTATGCGTGACGTGGTTGGCTCAAATTTGTCGCGTAGAAAGTTTTGCGAAAAGCGTGATAATAGTCACAATGGTTGAAATCATTAATCTAGACATAGTCTAAAGTTGAAACTGCACATCAGGGAATGAAAAAGATATGAGACTTTACTTCTTCAAATACGAAACAAAATGACAATAGATAATTCTTACCTGTAGAAATTAATCGTTCAAATTGATCACTCTTCTGCTTTTAGATATTAAATTAATCGTTAAATTGATTATCCCATCGCTTTATCTACTGCTTCTAGAAATTAATTTAATCCTCTGAATTGTGATAATTCTGTTCAATGCGATGAAAAATGTTTCCACGAACTGCTATAGAAAATTACGTTTATTCTTACGAAATGTTTTATTGATTGTTGCAGATATCAAAATGGGTTGTTTCGGAAGTAAAGATAAGTTGAGCAAAGAAGATATGGACTTCCTCAAGTCGCATACGCGATACGACGAAGCGACTATAAAGGAATGGTACAAAGGTTTTAAAGTGAGTGTTGAAAAGATATTACTGAATATTAAATTATGGATCAAGAATTAAATCGAATTTACTATAAACCGTCAATCTTTTCGATTTCGTATATTTCGTAGCGACCTCAATTTCGCTTCGTGTATTCTCACCGTAATCGTATACTATGATATATTACGAAAAGGAAAAATTTTACACTGTATCTCCAGCGTTGAAAGAACAGTTTCTAGAGAAATTGAAAGCTTTATTTATTTGCATGACCTATATATTGTTAGAATTCTTAAATCATTTAATATTTCCATTATTTTTCTGTGCGTAATAACGAGCATGAGATAATGCGAATACGCGAGCGTGCTGAAAAGATCTAGACAAGAAAAATTTGCTGCAGAAAATAACTAATTTAACGTTCATGTTGCAAATATAATTTCTCTCTAAAAATTTTTTCTAATACTGAATAACATTTTAACGTAATTTCTTATACATGATAAATGAATTATATGATAATATTCATTGCATTATTAATAATTCTATGCAATTATCGATTATTCTTTATTAGATACTAATTTACTAATTTATTTTTAAATATTCTTAATTACGTCTTAATATAGTTTTTCGTGATTACAGATATTTTTTTAAACATGCAATGTATATATCACGATAAAATAAAATATTGATGAAAGAAATTTTTGCATTGATTTATCATAAAAATGTTATACACAAATATAAGTGTGCTTCTATAGAGCCATAAAGTTTCATTAAACATGAAAACGTACACATAAAGAAGAAGATATGAAAAGAACATATAATTTAACAAATCGATCTGGCTTCTAAATATTTTGAAAAAATTGAATGAGAATATCTCATAATTTTCTGATGTATTAAAACAGAGCTAATTATTATTAATGGTACTAGTTCAGCGTAACAGTATTAAACAAAAATTTACAAATCGGTAATTTATGAAAATCTATATAAATGTATGATTAAAATTGATGCAAATTTATTAATAAATGTTGTCATGTATATTTATAACACATGTCAGTTAAAATCAATATGCAGCCACTCGTAGTCGCAATTATAACATGTAAAATACGCTGCGATATTTTCATAAACATATGCGGCCAAATGCTAAACTGTATCTCTCTTTTCTCCGTAAAGAAGCAGAAAGAGAGAAAGTGATTATACGAAATTATACGAATATTTAAGGTTATGAAATTGCATAAGTAAGAATTTGCGGTTAAATTATAACATATTTTAGCAAAAAATCTGTTTATCCGTAGTTTATTCTATCTCAGAAATATAAAACTTAATTTACGTATAACAACGTTTTTACAAATATTTTTAATTATATACGTTTTATAAATATATATTTATATATAAATTTATATTAACATATAAATATTTATAAATATTTATAGATATAAATTTAAATATAAATTTGAGTTTTATATACATAAATGCGAAGTACTCGATAATGTTATTGTTAACACTATTTATCTCATTATATTATGTAATGCTTTATCACATTTTATTAATAATTAAAAATTAAAATGTAGTATGAGTAATGGCATAATTAACGGTGATATCTTTATATCACTGTAATATTTAATCATCCAATGTTAATGTGTTATTTACCTAATAAAAAATAGTCGTTCGAGAAGCTAATTGTCAATGTATGATATGTTCGTTTATTATATGGCAAATATTAATTTATTTCTCACATATTCGACGCGTATAAATAAATCACATTGACGTGATGAGCTTCATAATTTACGTTTTAAATATTCAATATATTGAGACATGATGTACGTGCGACATTACAAATTTAACATTTAGTTATTGGGATAGATCATTATTAGATCTAACTAGAACATTATTATCTTAACACACATTATCTCATTCGCACAACACAAATAACACGTCTATATATAATTTATAATACAGCATATAATATAAATATTTATTTAGCGTTGCTTGAAACTACCTTTATAATAGTATGCTTATAATTCCATACAATTACGCGTACGCTGTCAACATTCGTTGTTTTGTCCCTGAGTAATTATCGCAATTTGATGCGAATGCATATGTGAAATAACGAATATTATGACTATCACACAAATTACAAGTATCTTTCGAATGTGAACTTAAGAGTTGATTAATTTAGAAAGTACTAACACATGATGCCAGGTTTATAAATACGTTAGAAAGTACCGTATTGTTAACAATATTTCAAGTATTCTTGTAAGATACTTAATCAATCTATATTATAGAAAACTCGCCCGAGCTGCGACAAGATTTATCAGGAACAGGATGTGACGTTTTCGCGAAAGTCGCTAGTGCCGCAGAAAAGTTACTTTCTCGAACAGTTTAAACGGGCGCGGATCCAAAGGAGCTCGTGGCGACCAGATTAATTAAACTAAGCAGAATCATTATAATGGACGTTCCGCAATCTAGTGGCGTTTCACAGCTGCTCATTACCCGCTTCCTCTCGTGCGATTTGCAATGAATCTCGCACACGAGATTCGTTGAGTCTGTGGATTGAAATAAATGAAAACTGATCACCGCGCATCGACCTTGGCGAAGAAGCGCGGTCGAAGGAGATTGAAAAATATATCATGCGGAAGCGGTGTCATTCGCTTCTTTTTAAAAATGAGACGAACGGCACTAGATTAAGGCCAATCTGATACGAGGGGAGCGATGACACTTTTAAACGACTTAATTTTTTTTCTCGGGATCCCATATCTTGCGCTCAACCGGCAAGACTGAGGTATATTCTGCGATCAATAGAACTTCACTATGCGGATGAAAGTCTTTAGTCAAATCGGTTAATTTAAACACGACATAATTTTAGTAAAGTATTTTTATTCAGACCGATTTAATATATATCTCTATATTTAATATATCTTAAATATATGAAGAACGTACTGACACAAATATACTCTTTTTACTTGGTATACGTAAGTGCTATTTTTATTAATGTAAATTTTGTTATTATTCAGGCATAACAGCATTTTGAACAACTTGGTTTCTACGTTACTATGACGTATTTAATTTTCCTATTTTCGAAAACAAAGTTTTAATGTATTTCTATAATTTAATGTATCTCTACTAAAAAAAAACATTGATAGTTAAATGATGAAAAAAATTAAAATTGTGAAAAGTGCAATAAAAAAATAATGTATACAGAATTGTGAAAATGTTATGCAGTAATTAACGTAGTGCGATTAAAATTTAACTTGCGTACTATAATTGTTATAATTACATTATTCCAACTAATATATAATTATATTATTTTATTAGATAATTATATACCTTAGGAATGGAAAAAAAGATGGAGATAAAACACGACAAAGATATAATAAAAGTATCGAGCTATTATTGCACATTTATAAGTATACTAATAATACTTAAAGAGAGAATACAAATAGTTCAATAAATAGGAACAAAGAGGAGTAGTCCAAAAATTATGTTAGAATAGAAATGCATTACATATATGTAACATAAAAAATCCTAGCTCGAGAATTCACGGTCTTGTGTTCTTTCGAATGTTACAGCAAGACTGTCCTAATGGCAGGTTAACGCCGGCGAAATTTGTCGACATGTACAAAATGTTCTTCCCATCCGGTAACGCGGAAGAATTCTGCGACCACGTGTTCCGCACATTCGACATGGACAAGAATGGCTACATCGACTTTAAGGTGAGTCCCGCAAGTATTTTACGACATACAATTGGCACAAACTGCTGTAATGAACCATGTAATAACTACCGTGCTCCCGACGGATCCTCCAAAGAAGATACGTGTCACGCCACGTACTTGTCGTACATCGATCATTCCACGTGATTAAACATAATTGCGACAAAATCTGCTCGCCTGAGCGACTCAAAGAAGTGCGTTATAGTCGCCGCAATACTTTCATCGCGAAGAGAAGATTGCACTTTTATGACGTGAAAATATCGTTCGTTTGAATTTAGGTCGACTGGCGCGAGACGGGAAGTTTGAATATCGGAAATTTATCGAGAATTGTAATCTATATGCACAGTGAGAAGAAACGATTGGTTAACAACGTGTAAAGACGATAAAATGATGTACTAAGACACAAAAGATTTCCATCTTGGCATGGAAGCGCGCAAAGAAACGTGAGCGGTGCTACACCCGATTATACGCTCGACAAATGCGACGACATAAATCTTTTCTGAGACTTCAGATCGCGTATTCCTTCATACCCGATTATCCGTGATTGTGAATTTATGTTCTTTATAATCCGCGTAAATCATTAATAATGCATTATTCATACGACGCGATGTAAGTATTACAACCAAGCTCTCCATCATTATTCGTGGTCCCTTCTCGCTCCGTAGCTTCGTAACTGCCTTGACTTGACTCGAAATTTTCCAAGAGAAGTGCCTCACGTTACACATGGTTTCCGTTTGTAAGCACAGAGAGCGAATATTCTTGTTCGTCATCTCGGTATGCTAATCGGTAATTTAATATAGTTCGCCAAAGGTGCGACGAGTCGCGTGTTTGCCTGCCGGCGATAATAGCTATTTGATATCTGACCCGAATACGCCGGATAAAACCCTAAGCTTTGTCTAACATCGTGCTTTGTAAGGTGATCTCGCATCGCATCGCTGATCAAAGTTATTCTAGAGGAACTATATAATTTACCATAGAAAGGCAAATTCTTCGGATGTAAATGACGCACAATTTTTTTCAGCTATTTCACCGTGTCAAAAATCATCTCGTCTTGTTCTTATCTCACCGTCGTTGTATTTTTAATTTTCAAGAAAGCATCATTCTTGATGCGATCCTTATAATAAATTATAAAATTTATTAATATATTAATATTCTTATTATAATGTTTTTATTTCTTAAAGATAATTTAGAGGATATAATAAAAAAAATAATATGAGTAGACAATTTTATATATAAAATATATAAAATCAGCATACAAACTATGAAAAGTAGAGAAAAGTGTAATATTGTAATTTTATTGAATTGTATAATTATATGTATAATTTTATACAATATATATATAATTACAAAAGGATTTAAAAATAACAATTGTATTTATTTTTACATTATTACAACAATTACATTGAAAGAAAATATCGTGATATTACACATTACAGTCATTTTCTTCCATGTGTCTAATATGCTAAAGATAAAATAAATAAAAGAGAGAAGTAGCGAGAGAGAAAATTACTTGCACTTTGAAATGTTATTAGAAATTTTATATTACGTATTCGGATTAATGTAATGTATAGGAATAAATTAAAAATCTTAATATTCTCTACAATAATTGTATATACTGCGGTTAATTTAATTCACATTGCATTAATATTATTATATTATTAAAAAGTAATATAATACAGTAATATTAAATTGTTTATCTCATTTTGTGAAATGTATTAACGAAAAAACGTTAAACTAGATGACACTAGATTTTGTACAAAAATGTAATCAGAAAAATATTTGATAAGAACACTGTTTTATAAGATTTCAGATTAATATTAGGTTGAGTAAAAAGTCATCGCGTATTTTTTAGCTCAAAGTTGTATATACAATATCTTCGTCAATAATGAATGAAATTCAAATTTAAAAAAAGGGTTTTAAAGCTTGAAATCTCTACTTTTAAAAGCTTATCACATTTTTTAAGTTTATATGAGTTTGATAATTTTTATATACCAAAAACTACGAGCTGAAAAAGACAAAAAATTTTCTTCTTCACTTTGTGGATTTGTAATTTGTGTCCAAAACGAATTTGAGAAAATTTTCGATTACCTATCGTGAAAGCTTGATACTTTCCCTATAAAAT